GCTCTTCAGAATTTTCTTTCTTTTATATAAGATAACTCCTTAAGCTGCTTTTTATAAATGGGAAAAGAGTTGCCTTTCCCAAATTAAATTGGGCTTTCAACAAAGATATGCTGCTGCCCCAATGCTTCTGTGCTGTCATAGATGATGTGCTTGAACAGACCCTAAGTAAATGCATTTTAGTATTCCCAGTGATAATGATAACCTCACTGACATTGATTTTGCTAGGGACATATTGCTAGTTGTTGAATCAAACCTCTGGGATCCTCTGTGGCAAAAGTCAGCCTGAAAGTTAATTGCTGTAAAACCAAAATGTTTCCATGCAGCAATTTCAAACAAGCTGCTGGCTCTGACATCTTAATGGGCAATCAACCAGTTGAGATTATCTGTGATTTCAGCTACCTTGGTTCTGTTATCAATAACACAGGTAACATCAACAAAGAACTTAAGGTTCAGAATGAAAAAAGCAGTCAGTAATCACATGCCTCATCAAGAATGTCTTTCACAATCCTGTATTTTGTTTCACAAGCTGAATGCCTTGATAAGCAGAGAGATAAAATTGAGGCTATATAATGCTTCAGTGGTCAGTATGTTGATTGAAACATGGCTCCTTACTATTAAGACTGAAAAGAAGTTGGACACCATTCAACTCTCTGAATAATTGAAAATGTTAAATGAAGTGATATGCATCCTAATTAAATGGGTACAATTCTTTCAAATATTCATTCGCCAACTCTCACTAATGCCTACCGACTTCCCAGCAAGACTCATTTTCATCTTTCTCCCAGTGAAAGCAGGAAGGAAAAGACTTCCCACAGGAGGCCTAAACCATGTTGTCCAGATGATGTGAGCCGACCCATATCCTTCTGAGGCATCCTTTCTCAGATTTGGCTCAGAACAGACTATCTGGAAGTGCATAATTTATTCGGTGGCCTCCAAAGGATTGCATGAGCACTAACCTAATCTTACTGTACCAGGTACCTGCTAAAAAGTTGCTGGGTAGTAATCTTTAAATTAAATAAGAAACACAGATAAGTGACATTTTTTAACCCAACATACTGCCATT